AGGCAGGTGAGGTCGACGACGGTCGGCGGTCGGTGGGAATGACAGTGACGAATTGAAGAAATTGTGTGGATGTGGAGAACACCCGATCTCTTTTCCTAGTTTTCCTCATTATTTTGGGGGAAAATGCATTTTCCCTATTTTAGGTTAAAAAAGTTTTCCCCTTTTTCTACAAATTACTTTACCCAGTATTTTACATTTTAACCAAACAAGAAAAGTAGATTACTTTGACTTTTCACAATTTTACCTACCATTTTCTACAAACCAATCATAGCCTATGTGTCTTTGTGAAATATGTGGAAATATGTGTGCTTATGTGAAAGCTAACTTTGAATATGTGAAATGAAGAATATATACTAACTTCACTTGCACGTTTTTAAAGTTGGAAAATCTTGTAAAACATAGATCGAATAAGCACGGGGTATGAGGGACCGGTACCCCAAAATGAGATGAAGAGTGTGTGGTTTGATTCCACTTATGAAACGGGTTCCAAATAAATGAAGGCTTATTGTCTATGGTTTTACTTGATTTTTCAAAGGATATCAGAACGAAAAATGTTTTCTCACACACCTAATCAAATTGCTTGAAATTAATGAAAGTATGTACTAACCTCACTTGCACGTTTTTAAATTGCAAAGTCTTGTAAAACATAGATCGAATAAGCACGGGGTATGAGGGACCGGTACCCCAAAAATGAGATGAAGACTGTGTGGTTTGATTCCACTTATGAAACGGGTTCCAAATAAATGAAGGCTTATTGTCTATGGTTTTACTTGATTTTTCCAAAGGATATCCGAACAAAAATATTTTTCTCACACATTGCATGAGCACTTGAATGAATATGTGTGTAAAATAATGACTACTCCCTTGTAAGGGATTACTCTTATTCCTTATGAAATGATGTAAGGAAGGTCTAAGTGGTTAGCCGAGAAGGTAAAGGTAAATCGGTAATGTAACACCCCGCATTTTCGGTAAAATAATTTTTACCACCTTTATGTGAATAATTGCGAAATTAGAATTTATAATAATTCTTGCATGATTAGTATTTACGTGAATTAGGTAATTATGCAATTATTATGTGAATTATGTGATTATGTGAATTATGTGATTATGTGAATTATGTGATTATGTGAATTATGTGATTATGTGAAATATGTGCTTAGGGAAATATTTCGAAATAGAATGTCGAAATAAATTATTTTCATGAATTAGGATTTTATTCTTGCATGTGATTTTTAAATGAGCATTTCATACACAAAATTTTAGAAAATAAATTTCCCCATGCATTTTTGGATTTTTAATTAATGTCGAAAATTAGAAAATGCTCCCCACATTTTCTTGAATTTTCGGACATCACTCACACACACACACATGATTTTTAAATTCTTGCATATTAATTGGTAGAAAAACATGCATTGGTGTGGTTGTACTTTGAGCATAGAAAGAAATACCTAAAGCCTAGTTCCCTACCCTATAGACTAGGCATGCCTTTTTTTTTCACACCTTCAAGTAAGACCAAAGGTCTTCTTCTCCTCCCTTCCCCTTCATCTTTCGGCAGCCACCACCACCACCATAGCCACCACCTTCTCAAGCTTGAACCACCCTAGAACCACCACCACCTCATATTTTCGGAAATTGCAAAATCACCCCCACAAAAAATGCATTTCCCTTTCTTCTCCATTGGCTTTGAAGTCTCCAAAAACTCTATAAATACCACCCATGCCCAAGATCAAAATTCACTCTCAAACTCCACTCTTACAATCCTTAAGTTCAAAGTCTCCTTCTATTTCAATAGAAGAAGAATTTTCGGCCAAGGCTAAGTAAGCTTCCTCTTCCTCTTTTCTTTTTCTTTTTTTCGAAAAGAGCCAAGCTCTTCTTCCTCCAAGTTCTTTTGTTCTTCTTCTTATTTTCTTAATGCCTAATCTAACTCTTAATCTCTTCTTGTATTAGAGAGAAAAGAGCTAACAAGCCCTTCCCCTAAAGAGTATAGGTGAGAATTCTTGAATTCTTGCTCAAACCTACAACACCACTAGTAATTTTCGGTTTTTATGTGTTTTTGTGTGTTTTCATTGTTGATTCTTGCATATTATGTGATTGTTCTAGATGATGATTGCATGTTAGTATTTTGAAAAGATAGCTTTATTCTTGAAATTTTGTGATTTTTCGAAAATTGGGGAAAAATGTTTTAAATGGCTTATTTGGCTAATTAGTACTTTGCATGTGTTAATCTAGTGTTTGATTGTTGATTTGTGAAAAGAAAATGAATTTTTGACTTAGCTAAGGAACTTTCGAAATTTTTGGGGAAAATGTTTTAAATTGCTTATTTGGCCTAATTAGTACTTTGCATGTGTTAATCTAGTGTTTGATTGTTGATTTGTGAAAAGAAAATGAATTTTTGACTTAGCTAAGGAACTTTCGAATTTTTGAGGTAAAATGCTTGAAATTGCTTATGTGGTTTATTTTGTGTTTTGAATGTGTTGATCTTGTGTTGATTGTTGTTTTAAGGCCTTGCATGTTAAGATTGGTGATTAATTGTTGATCTAAGGTCTTGCATGTTAAGATCTAGTGATCGATGGTTGATCTAAAGTCTTGCATGTTAAGATCTAGTGTTTTCTATGAAAAATGGTTTAAGAACTAAGAACTTGTGCTAATTTGGTTTAAAATACTCTTGCATGTGAAGATCTAGTGTATTTGCTTGAATAAATGTAAAGATGAAAGTCTTGAATTTTATTCTTGTAAAAAAAATGCTAGATCTAGTGAACTTTGTTGTTAGATTGTTTTTGCATGTTAAGATTTCGGTTATTTCTATGTTTTTATGGCTAAATGATTTCGTGAAGCTTTATGTGTATTTTCTATGTGCTCCTATGTGCTCTTACTTGCTTATGTGAATCATTAGGTGTAAGGATGAGAGAAGGGTAAGTAGAAAGGGTGCATGGGTGGGTGCATTAAGTGTCATGAATTTTTAAAAGATAAAACTATGTTGGAAAGTCTTTCGAAGTTACGGTAAATTTCTCGGGTACGGCGAGCCTGGTACCGTAGGGCCTAGGGGTGGTTTGATCCCACGTAGTTAGACATGGTTCGTAATATATGGGGTTATTTACCGGTAACTTAGATTGGCTCTTCCGAGGGATTCCCGACAATTTTTCATGTCATGCATGTTGCATTTCGGTGTTGTTGATATAGGCGGGAAAATCTCACTCTATGGTCTTGGGACCGTAGGGTTATAAAGGTGGGAAATTCCTTCTATAATCTTCAATACGTGTCATGGCATAGGGTTATAAAAGTGGGATATTCTCACTCTATGATCTTGGGATCATAGGGTTATAAAGGTGGGAATTATCTCACTCTATGCGTGGTGACAATTATGTGAATGAAGAACGCCGACGAAAAAGGGAAGTATATGATTGTTTTACTTCATGTTGTATGTTCATGTATAGGATATATGTATGTATATATATATATAGATATATGTATGCTCTATGTGCTATGTGTATTCGATATTACTTCAAGATTCTCATTGAGTCCTCAAAGACTCATATAGGTGTTGTATGTTTGTAGGTATACCCGATTTAGGGCCCGAGGAGTGAAGTTGGGAATCGAGCTCGAGAATCGGAAGGGGATCGTATGGAGGGGTTGTGGATAGTGTTGGCTCTTAATTTGGTTATGTGGTTCTATTTGTACAATATGCTTGTAAAAACGTTTGATACGGTTTTAGGTATTTTCTACCGATCGCTTCCTCCGATCGGTGGAAATTATTAAAAGACGACATGTGTAATAGTAATTAGGATTACCCTATTTTGGATAATTAATCGGTAATCCGTAGCCTTTTGTAAGCGAAAGCAAATTTTAACTCTCTATATGCATGCATGCTTTCGGCTAGTAATTTCTTCGTATCTTGTCTCCATGCTCTAAAATTATTTTCATATAGGTGCTCTGCTTAGAAAATCATGAAATTTTAGGAGTCTCTGCATCTCTCTGTTCTCATCATATTGGTAGATCTTGTGCATGATTTGGGTAAGTAGTTATTTAGTTATGATTTATTTCACGCTACTGCATTGAAACAGGGTCATTCGGGTGTTTTCTGGTATAACTGGAGTTTTACTCACTCAAATGCCTTGTTTCTACTAAGAAAATGTTTTAAGCTTACCTTTCTGCCTTGGGGTAAAATTTGGTAGTTTTTGGGTCAGTGAGGAATTTATTATGAATTTTCAAAACTCCCTCCCCTGTTCTGGATTTTTAAACTGAGTGACTGTGCCATTTTATTTATTTCTCCTAAATGGCCATGAATCTTTCAAAACTGTTTTAACTGAGTGATCTAGACCCGTATTAGATGGTATAGTATAATATTGGGGTTATTTGCATGAGTAGTTTAAGAGGAATTAATTTTTAAAGCTTCTGCATTGAATCTGTCCGCATTTGCATTAAGTTCATCATGCCTAGTTAATTTCTAGTCTTGCATGTAGTATGCCTTTGTGTTAGAATTTGATTAGGATTTAGCAAGCTGTGCCCTCTCTCCCTCTGATTTAAAAAGAAAAATTTTTACGTAAATTTTAAATCCACAAAAAATCATGTTTTCAAAAGTCTTCCGCTGAGATTACATATAATAAGGGTAATCGAGAGAGGGGTGTCACAGCAGTCGTGGTATCAGAGCAACGATCTCGGAAACCTCCATACGACCTAAAGACCTTCACGATTCTCAAAGCACGACTCCAACTGAACACTCGGGCAGGTATATGTTTATGTGAATTATGTGGCTAATGTGAATTGTTTGTATATGTTTAAGTATTAAAATGTCTGGAGCAAGAACTCGAGCTCAAAATGCCGCTAACGATCCTCACAATCAATCTCGTACCATCCAAGACCTCACCGCCCTCGTCCGAGAACAAAATGAACAAATCAACCGCCTTGTTAACCTTCAAAACCAAAACCCTCATCCACCTCCTCCTCCTCCTCCCCAACCTTGAAATACAGCCCCACAAGCCACCTACGAGCGATTCTTGAAAATGCATCCTACCGAATTCCACGGCGGCCCTAGTCCAACCGTTGCCGAAGAATGGATCAAATCCCTCGAAGTTATTTTCGAGTACATGGTGATGAACGACAACGACCGAATCCATTGTGCACTATTCTTGTTGAAAAACGAAGCCCGAAATTGGTGGGAAGGCGCAAAGAGTGGAATCGATCTAGCAAATACCACTTGGGAAGCTTTCAAAGTTCTTTTCTTCGAAAAGTACTTTTCCAAGAATGTTCGAGCACAAAAGCTTAAGGAGTTTCTCGAACTCAAACAAGGAAACCTAACCGTTGCCGAATTCACACGCCGTTTCGAGCAAGGAAGCCTCTACGCACCTTTCATATCCAAAGACGACACCGAAAAGATGAATCACTACCTAAGAGGCCTCAACCCGATAATCAAGCGCGACGTTCGACTAACCTCTGCCTCTACTTTCCGCGGAGTAGTGGACAAAGCCTTGGAAGCCGAACAAGACGAGATGGAAATACGACAATGGAGACCTCCTCACGATGCCTCTTCTCGACCATGGAAGAAACCGAACCTCAACAACGCCAAGGGAAAGCAACCGATCAACCGAGCAACCGTGACCCCGAGCAACAAACCCTTTTGCCCCAAATGCAATCGAGCGCACTCAGGCGATTGTATTGCCGGAACCGACCATTGTTTTCGATGCAAGAAGCCCGGACACATGGTCCGAGACTGCCCTATCGCCCCGAGACAAGTGCCGGGACGAGTATTCGCCATGACAAGAGACCAAGCCGAAGCTGACCCCTCAATGATCGCAGGTACCGTTAATGTGTATAATAATTCCGTGTATGCCCTCATCGACTCCGGATCAACTCACTCATTCATCTCAAGTACCCTCGTTGCCGAACTCCGCCTAGTCCGTAGCCAAGCCGATGCCTTGTTTAGCATACTTATTCCTTCCGGTGATGAACTTAAATTCAATTTCATCATCAAAGATTGCCCTATTCAGATTCGTAACCAAACCCTAGCCTCCGATCTGATCATTCTACCCATTAAACATTTAGAAATAATCCTCGGAATGGATTGGTTATCAAAATTCGACGCCCAAATCAATTGCGCCCACAAAACCGTTCGTTTCTCCTTACCGAATGGCAATTTTCTCGAATTCCGAAGCTCGTACAATCCGTCGATTCCTATCATTTCCGCCATCAAAGCGAGCAAACTTATTCAAAAAGGACATCTATGTCATTTGGTCGACATAGTGGAAACTCTCAACGAAGATAAAGCCGATATTTCCAAAGTGCCAACCGTTTGTGATTTTCCCGATGTCTTTCCCGAAGATCTCCCCGGTCTTCCGCCCGATCGTGAAATCAAATTCGAAATTAATTTGATTCCCGGTTCCGCTCCTATCTCGAAGGCACCTTATCGCATGGTGCCGCTAGAGCTAAAGGAACTCAAGGACCAAATTCAAGATCTTATCGACAAGAAGTTCATCCGCCCTAGTTTTTCCCCATGGGGTGCTCCGGTACTCTTCGTGAAAAAGAAAGATGGAACTCTCCGAATGTGTATCGACTACCGAGAACTCAACAAGGTCACCGTCAAAAACAAGTATCCATTGCCACGAATTGACGACCTTTTCGATCAACTTCAAGGCTCCACGGTCTATTCCAAAATCGACCTTCGTTCCGGATGTCATCAATTGAAGATCAAGAAGGAAGATATTCCGAAAACCGCGTTTCGGACTCGCTACGGCCATTACGAATTTGTAGTGATGTCGTTTGGTCTAACCAACGCCCCAGCCGCTTTCATGGATCTCATGAATCGAGTTTTTCGCAAATACCTCGATCAATTTGTGATCGTATTCATCGACGATATCTTGGTGTATTCAAGAAATGATGAAGAACACCAGAATCATTTGGAAATGGTGCTCCAAACTCTCCGAGAGAACCAACTCTATGCGAAGTTTTCCAAATGTGAGTTTTGGTTAAGACAAGTCCACTTTCTTGGTCACGTAATTTCCAAGGAAGGCATAGCCGTCGATCCAAGCAAAATTGAAGCCGTTTGTAACTGGTCAATTCCTCGTAATGTCGGAGAAATCCGAAGTTTCCTCGGCCTCGCAGGCTACTACCGACGGTTCGTTCCGAACTTTTCCAAGATAGCCGCTCCACTCTCTCGTTTGACCCGAAAGGAAGTCAAGTATCAATGGACTCCCGAATGCGAGTCTAGTTTCCAATAACTCAAGAAGCGATTAACCTCGGCACCAATCCTCGCTCTACCGGATAAAACCGGAAATTATGTGGTCTATAGTGACGCCTCCAAGCACGGGCTCGGAGCTTCAAAAATCTGAAGCTTCTCAACAAGTACAATGCCTATATGCGGAATGTGCCAGAAGGGAAAGTAAACTAGAGTGCCATACAAAGTGTTACAACACGTTGGTACCACCATTTGTTTTGAACTTGTACAAATAGAATCCTAGTTGATTTCTACTTCTATTCTAGATAAATACAAAAGATACCTAACTAGAATAAAATACATGGAAATAAATCTAAGTCCTAATAGAAGTATTATAAGAATAGGACTCTAATAAATTCCAAAATAAATATGGAAAACAAATCTTTGCCAATCTTTTAATTCCAAAACATGGCGGATTTCCTCGATCTTCAATAGCCGGAAATATGGCGCCGACAGGGGTGTTGAACCAAGTGGTACCACATCTGACTCAATACATCCTACTGAGAGCACATAAGCTGAATTACAGCCAACTCATGATGTCTGCAGAAAGGAACCATCAAGTAGAATCCAGAAAAATCACCCCTCTACTCAAGTTGTGGGAGATATCTTTGATGGGATAAGGACCAGAAGAAAAGAGAGAGTGAATTACAGAGATATGGTAAGATTTGCAAATTTATCTTCTGAATGTGCAATAACTGGAACTACTTGCTTTGTATTTTCAGTCGAACCAAGGAATATTGCAGAAGCACTGAAGGATGAGTTTTGGATTAATGCAATACATGAAGAGCTGAATCAGTTCATCAGGAATGATGTTTGGTACTTAGTTCCTAGACCAAGTAATGTAAATGTGATAGGAACTAAGTGGATCTTCAAAAACAAAACTGATGAAAAAGGTACAGTTGTTAGAAATAAGGCTAGGTTAGTAGCACAAGGTTATACTCAAATTGAGGGTATAGACTTTGATGAAACTTTTGCTCCAGTAGCTAGAATTGAATCAATTAGATTACTTCTTGCTATAGCCTGTTTTCTTAAAATCAAGTTCTATCAGATGGACATCAAAAGTGCATTTCTGAATGGTGTTCTAAATGAAGAAGCATATATAGAGCAGTCCAAGGGTTTTGAAGATTCTGCCAAACCTAATCATGTTTTCAAGCTTAAGAAGGCTCTGTAGGTCTTAAACAAGATCCTAGAGCTTGGTATCAAAAACTCACTGACTTCTTACTTGAAATACAGTTTAACAGAGGATAGGCAGACATAACTTTATTTGTTAGAAGAACAAATAACCATATCATTATTGTTTAGATATATGTTGATGATATTGTGTTTGGTTCTACCTGCGCTAACCTTTTACAGTCTTTTGTAGATTCTATGTCTCACACTTTTGAAATGAGCATGGTAGGAGAGTTGAATTACTTCCTAGGACTCCAAATCAAACAGACAGGTGAAGGAATTTTTGTAAATCAAAAGAAGTATGCTCTCAGTTTGGTCAAAACGTTTGAGTTGGAGTCAACCAAGCACATGAAAACTCCAATGGGTTCAAGTCAAAAACTGTCCAAGGATGATGTTGCTGAAGATGTTGACAACACCCTTTACAGAAGCATGATTGGAAGCCTTCTGTATCTAACAGCAAGCAAGCCTAACATTATGTTTAGTGTTTGTGTGTGTGCCCGGTATCAAGCTAATCCCAAAGTCACTCATCTTAAAGCTGTGAAGAGGATAATTAGGTATGTTGCAGGTACAGTAGACTTAGGGATTCAGTTTTTCAAAGACACTAATACAAATTTGATAGGCTTTAGTGATTCTGATTGGGTTGGGGATATTAGTGACAGAAAAAGCACCTCAGGTGCATGTTTCTTTTTAGGGAATAATCTGGTTTCATGGTTCAGTAGAAAACAAAATTAAGTATCACTTTCAACAGCTGAATTAGAATATGTAGCTGCTGGAGGATGTTGTGGTCAACTAATTTGGATGAAACAAATGTTGGGGGATTATGGGTTAACCAGTGACATCCTGACCATATATTGTGATAATTCAAGTGCTATTGATATTTCAAAAAATCCAGTAACACTCACGAACTAAACACATAGATATTAAACATCATTTTATTCGTGATATAGTTGAGAAAAATATAGTGTGCTTAAAGTACATTCCTACAGAAGATCAGCTGGCTGACATCTTTACTAAGGCATTAGATTATGAGAGGTTTTCTAAACTTAGGAAATCTCTCGGGATGTGTACTCAATAAACATGTCTTGAAATATGTTGCAGTAGCTCATCCAATATCTTAAGCTGCAACATAATTTATTGAAGCTTAGCTTCTTCAAATAATGACTTCACTGTGATAGATTATTCTCTAAATAAGTAACAGGAAGTCTTTCACCTTGAAACGTGATCATGCTTCATATAAACATTCAGAGAACAATTATAATCACATAAGTCAAACTCCTTTATTTCGATAGTGATATCTTAGTAACTGAGGAACCTTCAAACTGAACACTTGATCATGTTCCATGTGAATTGTTTGACTTGAAAATAAGAGTTTTATTTAACACAAAAAAAAAAATAATAACAAAAAAAAAATAAAAAAAATTATATATATAATAAAATCTATGCCTGTTAGCCAATTTTTTTTCTCACACTATTAATCATTAATAGATGTGTTTTCTATTTTTGTGAAAATATCGTGAGTGCTACTGCTACTATTTTTATTATTTTATTTATTATTGAATTATCACTGTTTATATGGGTTATGGGGTTCATGGGTTAGTCTTTTATCTTCCACTAAGTCCACTCTTTATTGTGCCATGTGTCACGTTTTGCGTTAAACTACCAAATAAACCTTTATTCTGCTTAATCACACTTTCTCCAAGAAAAACGCACACCACTTCTTCACCTTCTCCACTTCAATTTTTTTTCAGCAAAAATTAGGGCTTATAAATTTCGTGCTTCTTCTTTCGAAACTTCACACTCAAAAATTAAAAGCATAAGAAGCAATTTTTTTGATCTACTGTATCATGGCATCTCCTCCTAGAAATCCTCTTCCAGCCGTCGGTGATGTCCACAACGATGCTGCAGCACCTGAACCTGCAGACCCGAATCTGGCCATCATCGTTCATCCTGTCAACCTTGAAGCTATGCCGATCAGTTTTATTGAGCCCGGTGACGAGCTGAATCCGATTGACCCAGACAACTTCGAGTATGTGGGTCCCTCTTCCAGTGCATGAAGGTTTCCAACTCGCCGGCCCAAGCGCATGAATCCCTTCCCAGATCTGAATATTGCTGGGTCACAACGCCGGAGGGAAGATAACTCTCCCAGAATATGAGGCATAGGTGGAAGAAGAGGCGGCAGAGGTGGTCGTACTCCAGTTAGGGAAAACCCACCAAGAGGTCTTCATTTGGTGGATGAAGACACAGATGATGAAGAAGTAGATCCTACCTTTGCAGAACCAGAAGCCCAAGCTCTCTCCTCAAGCTCCACTGAGTCATCCTCCAACGACTCAACTCCACCAGCATCAACTCAGGGGGAGACATCTCAGCCTAACATGGCAGCAGCAGCTTCCCAACATCCTGTTTCTGAAGATGTTGCTGCACATGTTCCAGAAGATGTTGTTGCACCCAGTGTCTCAGCCAATGCCCCTCAGAGTGCTGCTGAGGATGAAGAAATGCCTGATTTTTCTGGGATGTTCTCTGCCGAGCATGTTGACATTCCCACTGTTGATGCTCAGGATTTCACTACCACTGAAGAAACACCCTCAGCACCACATGCAGACCCTCTGGAAACTCTCGCAGAAGCAGCTCTTCAAGTGGATGCACCACATTCCCAGTTGAAGAGAAAGAGAAAAGTGATGACAGTTGGGAAGTGCCCTTGCCTCTTTCCGCAAGAATTTGCCATCCTCAGAGTCAGACAGTGATTCTTCGGAGGACTCATCTCAGATGGAAGAAGATGCTGCTCCACCTATTGCATCATCTGATCCAGCATACATCCCAGATGAACTTGAAGACTCAGAAGAAGAGGAATCCTCTGAGGAAGAAGAGCTAGACTTGGATGGGAAGGATCTGTCAACTCCGTTTGAGGTAAACAATGCCTTCAGTCCTACCTTTTATTTTGAATCTGATTCAAATTTGAGTCCTCAAATCATGAATTGCCAATTCATTGAGGAAAAGAAAATTTCCAAGGATGAGTTTGATAGACATATGATGATCACTGCCTTTCTTGATCAAAGAAAAATCCTTAGTCTAGTTGAGGTTGCCTGTCCTTATGATCCTTCTGTTGTGAAGGAATGTTTATGCCAATTTACAATTTTTTTTTAAATTCTCCAAACTTTGGTACAATTTTTGTGCGAAATTCCATTTTTTCCTTCTCTCCCAAAATTATCTACTCTCATTTACAAACTCCTACTGTAATTGATGAGGATAATTATGGTGATTTTACTGAGGTTTGTAAGACTATTTCTGGCAATCGTTTTAAATCCCTCTCTCATCTACTTCATTCTGTTTTCTCAAAATTTGGGCCAAGATGAATCAGAACATCTTCACACTCCACTTGGCATGATAACTGTTTCTCAAAATTTTCTCAAAGCTCCTCATGTCCATGATTTTCCCTGGAATGGAGATAATTTTCTCTGAACTGAATCAGATCAAAATAATCTTGGTACTGAAGGAGTTGCTCCTCATGTTGACAACACTCCTGACATCCTTATTTCTATTTCTCGAGATTTGTTTTGTTAAAACAGCTTACTCACTCCCTAGTTCAGATCACCTACCATCACTCCATGGTGGACATGCACCAGAAAGCTCTTTCTGATCAAAAAGGGGGAGAAAAAGTTAGTCATGAAGTTGAAGCAGGGACTTCTCATCCCTTGGATGCCAGAGGCAGAGAGCAAGGAGTTAATGAAGAAGAAGCAGAGGAAAGCAGTGGGTCCAGATGGAGAAACAACAGCTGATACTCAGGAGACCTTGGATATTCTACTTTAATTTGTTTTATGAACAATATTTGGTTTTGTT